ACACACACACACACACACACACACACACACACAGACACACACACACAGACACACACACACAGACACACACACACACACACACACACACACACAGACACAGACACAGACACACACACACACACACACACACACACAGACACAGACACAGACACAGACACAGACACAGACACAGACACAGACACAGACACAGACACACACAGACACAGACACAGACACAGACACAGACACAGACACAGACACAGACACAGACACAGACACAGACACAGACACAGACACAGACACAGACACAGACACAGACACAGACACAGACACAGACACAGACACAGACACAGACACAGACACAGACACAGACACAGACACAGACACAGACACAGACACAGACACAGACACAGACACAGACACAGACACAGACACAGACACAGACACAGACACAGACACAGACACAGACACAGACACAGACACAGACACAGACACAGACACAGACACAGACACACACAGACACAGACACAGACACAGACACAGACACAGACACAGACACAGACACAGACACAGACACAGACACAGACACAGACACAGACACAGACACAGACACAGACACAGACACAGACACAGACACAGACACAGACACAGACACAGACACAGACACAGACACAGACACAGACACAGACACAGACACAGACACAGACACAGACACAGACACAGACACAGACACAGACACAGACACAGACACAGACACAGACACAGACACAGACACAGACACAGACACAGACACAGACACAGACACAGACACAGACACAGACACAGACACAGACACAGACACAGACACAGACACAGACACAGACACAGACACAGACACAGACACAGACACAGACACAGACACAGACACAGACACAGACACAGACACAGACACAGACACAGACACAGACACAGACACAGACACAGACACACACAGACACACACAGACACACACAGACACACACAGACACACACAGACACACACAGACACACACAGACACACACAGACACACACAGACACACACAGACACACACAGACACACACAGACACACACACAGACACACACAGACACACACAGACACACACAGACACACACAGACACACACAGACACACACAGACACACACAGACACACACAGACACACACAGACACACACAGACACACACAGACACACACAGACACACACAGACACACACAGACACACACAGACACACACAGACACACACAGACACACACACACAGACACACACAGACACACACAGACACACACAGACACACACAGACACACACAGACACACACAGACACACACAGACACACACAGACACACACAGACACACACAGACACACACAGACACACACAGACACACACAGACACACACAGACACACACAGACACACACAGACACACACAGACACACACAGACACACACAGACACACACAGACACACACAGACACACACAGACACACACACAGACACACACAGACACACACAGACACACACAGACACACACAGACACACACAGACACACACAGACACACACAGACACACACAGACACACACAGACACACACACAGACACACACAGACACACACAGACACACACAGACACACACAGACACACACAGACACACACAGACACACACAGACACACACAGACACACACAGACACACACAGACACACACAGACACACACAGACACACACAGACACACACAGACACACACAGACACATACACACAGACACACACGCATACAGCCAAGTTTAAAGAACAGCTCACCTATTATATAACTTATGAAACATTGTAGACAATTGCTCTGGAATTTATTCGTCCTGAAATATCTTGCGTGGTTCGAGTCACTATGAAATCAGTGGCTCGATGGTTTTCATAGTAGCGGACCAGTTTTTGCCCGCTATCGGTCATCGCGTTTCGAGACCATAGATTGAATGCCAGTATCAGATCGTAGTACAGTGAGTGTGAGCGAGTGTTTGTACCGAGCTGGTGTTCTTTCAGGTCTCCCGTTCCCGTACGGCGAGGCGGAGCTGGCGGACATGAGCGTCAAGCTGCCGCCGGAGTTCGACTGGAGGCTGTTCGGAGCCGTCACGCCCGTTAAAGGTACGCGACCCCTCGGTAGTCCCTCACCCGAAGTACAGTGTATCAGTTGTCACTAACCCACCGCTCGTCCTATCACAGACCAGTCGGTGTGCGGCTCGTGCTGGTCGTTCGGCACGGTGGGCGCGGTGGAGGGCGCTCTGTTCCTCAACAACGGCGGACACCTCGTGAGACTCAGCCAACAGGCACTCGTCGACTGCTCCTGGGGGTGAGAGGCCGGCGACGACACATACTCACTATTATATATAGTCTTAGTTATCTTTTGATGTATCTGTAATTAAAGTTCAGCCGTTATCAAAGAAATCTAACTTTCAGAACCACGATGGTCTTTCTATTTACTTTTACTTAAAATATCTCTCACATATCCTATTATTTCTTTTAATTTGAATTTTTTAACGTTATCTACCTGTCTTCTTCATGAAGTAGCTCATTATGAACACTGCCTGAACCAAGTTTCTCCATACTCCTATTCTAAAATGATTCACAACATAAAGTTCTCACAGTACAACTCAATGTATCGTTTTTGTTATCTTTGTCTATAATGGAGTGTGTTTTAAGTTTCGGTAACAACGGTTGTGACGGCGGCGAGGACTACCGCGCCTACCAGTGGATCATGAGACACGGCCTGCCCACCGAGGACGACTACGGGGGATACCTCGGGCAGGTGGGACACTACACACTGCACACTGCACACTCCACACTAGACGTTCTATCTGTAGTGTAGTAGTGACGTGCGCGTGTTTGTTACAGGACGGTTACTGTCACATGGAGAACGTGACGGTCGCCACCAAGATGAAGGGCTGGGTCAACGTGACCGCCAAGAACGAGAACGCGCTCAAGGTCTGTGTAAAGGTCTTTACTTGTATATGTATAATGTGTGTGTTGGTTCCATAAGCGTCATGTTGTCGTGAACAGTTGGCGATCTTCAAACACGGCCCGGTGTCGGTGGCCATCGACGCTTCTCACAAGACCTTCAGCTTCTACTCCAACGGAGTCTACTACGAGCCTAAATGGTGACGATATTCACTCATACTTTGAGTCTGGCTGCATGTGGTGATGAGTGATGACGTTTTTGTGTTTATGTTCAGTAAGAACAGCGTGGAGGAGCTGGACCACGCGGTGCTGGCGGTCGGGTTCGGTGTGCTCAACGGACACAAGTACTGGCTCGTGAAGAACAGCTGGTCCAACATGTGGGGCAACGACGGATACGTGCTCATGTCGGCCCGGGACGACAACTGTGGCGTGCAGGCCGCGCCCACCTACGTCATCATATAGAACACACACACACACACACACACACACACACACACACACACACACACACACACACACACACACACACACACACACACACACATATATATATATATGCAGACACTCGTAATCGACGCTCTCTCTCTTCATGTTGTAGATTAAGTAAATGTTCTCTCTGTATTTGTTTACTTTAAGAATAAAAGTTTTTTTATATATCGTTTTTTTGTTTCCTATCTGTTTGTGTTAGTAGTATGTGATCCGGAGGGCTTATATGGACGTGGAACTTGTAGAAGAGTGAAGTGAAGAATGTTCTGTGAAGTATAATTTATAACATACGAGGTGGTAGGGCTTGGTTGTGGTCAAGTTACTACAGTTCGACAGGGGTCGTATCACCCTCTCACAGAAGGTCCAACGTTAAATATGTAGTTTTGAATGGCTGTATTTTGTCCGATGATTGAGAGAGCCCGTTTCCTTTCATTTTTTCCAACCCTTTCCTCTCCCGAGATGTTAATGTGTGGAGTTACCTTCTGTCCTGCTTTAGTTGGATTTCGTTTTGGCGTGTAGATCGTGTTTTATATGAGTGGGGTCCATCGAGACCCTACAACTACGGTTTGGATCAGGGGCCCTTGGTACCCCGTGCTAGTGATACACAGAACTCACTCTCACTTCAGATTAATGGATGCTTATAGCACCATCAACATACTTCCGTCATTTCTTTACCTCAAGGTCGGCAACACATCCTCAAAAAAACGTTGCATATTAGCGACGGTAACTATCTCCCATCAGATAGGCCGTAGGCTGTCTGCTCGTATACCGCTTATACCATAAAAGAAAGGAGAAACATCTCAGTCACACAAATTCTTTGTTAGTCAAGTAAATCAGGTGTTTATTTCAAAGAAGTGATCTTCAATCCACTAGGATTTTATTCATTGTTGGAGATGAAAACTAGGAATAGCATCTTGTCATTGTATTATTATTTCCTCGTCATTGTATTATTATATTCCTTTTTTAACACGTGTACCTAAACTATAATACTGTAAGACATTTTGACAACTCGAATACAACACACGGACCACCGACCTTATACTATCGTCAATATAATATGACACTGGAGGATTTAATAAAGAATGATTGGGCGAACAGAATGTAATAAATGAAAATAACGAGTATGTTGTTTGTTGAACGTTTATTATAACCAGTATTGTCAGTGAGGCGGAAACCAAACACACATGTTACCGACCTTCACCTGCTGCTCCGGACACACGTCCTCGTGGATCGCCTTCTTATACTGAAAAGAACGAATTGTTAGAAAAATTACAAACTTTATATATTTTAGTATGAGTGTTGAGTTATAAATATTTCGGCGATTCCTATAGTTCTCTGGACTGAGATGAATGTTAAGTGTTGTAATGTCTCACAGAGGACACGTCACTCGTACTGTGTACGCTTTAATAAATGTTTCTAGATTGTTTTCCTTATGTTATGAACACGTGTATAAATGAAGACTGAACCACAAAGTAGTCCATCTTCCCGCGGCGGTGTGAAGTTATTATTATTTCAAACTAACGATATAATGTACATGTGTAACGTACGGTCCAGTAGTTCCAGAACGGATAGTGCGGGATCCATTGTTTTGATTTGTTTCCGCTGTACATCTCATCGAACTCGTACATCCCATCTTTCTGTTGACCGTCTTTCGACTCCAAGGAGCGACCCCAGTAGGGAGATCTCAGACTATCTTTTAGTACATATATAATTTTGTTATATGACTTTAATCTGTTATTTTTTGCGTCTTTGTGTTCTGTGTCTCTGTGTACGTCTCCATCATATTGACCAGCTCCAAGCGGTTCCAGTGAAGGCTCCTCCCGTTCGTCGTCTATATTTATAATGTGAACATTTTTCATCTCTTGTTCGTCGTTGTCGTAGGAAGGATCTTCTCTTTCTCCTCCGCTGTCGTGGGAGAGAGTTTTCTCTCTGTGTATTCTTACGAGCGGTTTAAATAATGTCTTAAACCTGTAATCATATTCTAATCCCGTCTCCGGAGCGTCGTGAGGTAGGACTCGCTTCACTAAAATTCTATTTGTAAATGTCTTTCCTTTGTCTTTTGAGTGTAAATAAATCTTTTTAAGAAGTCGCTTTATGAACGGGTTCCTATCCTCCCCCGACTCTAATAGTTGTTCCCAATCTGATGAGACCTGTAAATTATTAATTTTTCTTTTTTCCAAACATGACACAACTAAAAATAATAAACTGAACAAAAAACAAGTGTATAATCTTAAAATCATCTTAGAATACGAAATCAAAAAGAATCGTTTATATTTTTTAAGGCTTATCGGAAAGTTAATAATATGGAAAGATAAAGAAAATTGATGATTGATATATTATTTGGAAATGTTTGTTTGTGTCCCAACGGTTTTTATATTTTTACTTTATAACTTTTGTTTTCTTGTGTTTTAGTTTCTTTTAATGCTATAACTCTTTTATCATAAGATTTATCATAACTTTTAAACCCCTTCATTAAACGTGAGCCCACCGTGATAGTAACAGATGTAAAAATGTATTTAAAAAGTCTCTCATGACTGACGTTTTTGTTTTTGACTAACTTATTTACTTATTATTAATATCTCAATGCAAATCATTTAAAAAATAAAATAAAAATAATATTTTGTTAGAATTTATTACAAGACAAGTGTAGTTTTCATTATACATATAATGTTTCTCGTATTATCACTGTAGTCTGCCGAGCACGTCACTGACGATCTTCTTGCTAATCTTTCCGTTGTTTCTGTTGATGGCAGCGTAGAGAGGAACATCGAACAGGTCGAGGACGCTCCCCGGCGGCGCGGGCGGGCTGTGTTTGGACGGAGGTCTGTCGATACGGTGACGGGTCTTCATGTTACAAAACTTACACTCTCGGTTTATTTTACCATTTAAATAACGGAAGATGGGCTTCCTACCTACATCATAGAACGAGTCGAGCGGCAGAATGAACGGCCCGAGAATGACGACTATAAAGATGACTTTCATCTGAACAACAAAATAAATAATTAGTGCTGTGGATTTGAGAGTGAGCTCTTAAGTTTTATATCCGTAAATATATATTGATTCACAAAGCTTATGTCCTCGACCGGTGACTGTAGTGTTATAGATGCTACCTAAAACTACATATAGTGATGATCGACAAGATAAATCTTCTTGAAATAGACTTTCATCAATTCCGAAATAAAAAATTAATAAATATTGTGTCTTTGAAGCATCAATAAAACATGTTTCCATTATAAATTGTGTTCATGCATGTGTTGAATCGAATGCGATTGATTAAAAGATAACACGAATCACAAATAGAAACTGATGCGGTCTTTAATGTCGTTCAGTTACTGAAGAAGTTGTGAGGAAATATTATTATTACAGATTAAGAAAAAAAAACATATTACATCTTCCCACTATACAATCATCATGATTATTATTAATAACTAGATGATCCGGCGGGGATTTGTCCCCTAGTTCGAGGTCCGGAGCGGACAAGCTCCGGCAGGGTCGCGAGGCAAGCTCTCGTAATACCGCGGCTCTGCCTAGGTGGCGTGGAAGAGGAACACCCAGGGGTTTTAGTGGGTCGGTAACCCCACGTAACTCGGTCAAATCCCCGCTCGGCTGAAAATCTGTGAGCAGATTTCCCCTAGGAAAACAAAAAAAAAACTAGATGACCCAGCGGACTTCGTACCGCCCTATCATCAAGAGATATCTGTTAACTTTTTATTAAAATGAAGCTAATTTCTTAATTATTTATTTTTAAATCAATATTATAATAGTATTAGTCTTTATTATTTCGCTAATCTGTCCAGATTTCAACTAATAATATTCAAAAACAGTTTTAAAATGTAACATTTACATATATTTTTATGTATTTCAAATCAAGGCCTGCATTAATTAAACTGCTAGCGCCATCTGTTATATTTTTGTGTGAGTTAATTACATGAAACTCCAATTTCTTTCGATATTTTATTTTTAGGCATTTGCCAAATTCGCACGCTGCAGCTGGAAAACAACACCGACCTTATATATATATTTTTTTAAATATTGTATACCTTTCACAGAGCCTATAAAACTAGTACTAAGCGACATCATGTCCCTATTACCGAGTGGGACATCACTAGTACTTTTGACAAATACTATGAATTCAGACTTGGCTTCCGCATCTTCAGAGTATCGCCAACAATAATCAGACCCTAAAGCGAGCGAAGGCATTTGCGTCCTGCAATACTGGCGAATCGTCGCAATCGGAATCGCTGCTTGTGCTGAAAGACAGGGACTCACCTATCCTTCTTTTTACGTTTTTCCTTAACAATATTTCTTATTACGTTTTTACCAATCCTTCTTTTTACGTTTTTTCCCCATATTTCCACATAAAGACTTATATACAGACTAAGTTTTACTTCTTTACAATAAACTAAACAAAAATTTTGCAAATTATAGTATAAAACTATTTAAAATAATTAAAATTTTCAAAAATCCCGCGTCAACGTTTCAATTCCCACGCTCTTTTTTTCAGCACGTAAATAAACGTCGAAGAAAATGTCGACAATGTAGAAGTAGTACAACAATTTATATGAGTAAACAATTTTAAGTACATCTTCATGTTGATTGTTGTTAATGACAGCAGTGTTGTTAATGAAAGCAGTGATGTTAATGACAGTAAACCTGTTCAGGGTTTTGTTATATTTTGTCAGGATCAGTTATATTCTGGAATTGTAGTAAACAAAAATGTATTTCACTTTCTAGTACTGAAGCTGAAAATGTGTGAATATCAGAAGCCTTCAAAGAAGCAGTGTATCTGAGAAAGTTACAACATGAAGTGACTTGTAGCATGTATACTATTACTTTGTATAATGACAGTATGAGTGCTCAGAAGTTATAACTGAACCCAGTATTCCATAATAAAACTAAACATATGGATGTCAGGTATCACTATTGCTGAGATATTATAAATAAAAACATTGTTAGTATTAATTATTTGTGTATATCTGATATGCCTGCAGATTTATTTACCAAAAGCTTAAGTGTTGTAAAACATTATAAACATGTAAATGCTTTAGGAATTGTTAGAGTGTAATATATTTTAACTTTAAGTTCATGTTAAGTACTTATATAGTTTAAAATAGTTCATATTTTGATGGGAAGTGTTGTGAATATCAAAATATGGATACAACTAGGGCCATCTTGTGGCAATCATGTCAATAAGCGTTATTGTATTTATCTATGTTCAATAAATCATTCCTTTGACAATCGTTGTTTTATTATATATTAATTATCGTAATCTAATTCCTATTAAACAGTTTATTTATTCATAATGGTGCTGAGGGAGCAGGATGTCTTTGTCTCTACTAACGTTTACATTAAGATCGGGTGGTGTCATATTTTCACAATAAAACTGTTAAGGTTATATTCTTACTTTCTGTTGCCCTCACACACTCATAAAAATATTTCCATCTGACTCAAACGAATATTGTAGCACACATAATTTGAACAAATGTGTAAAGTTGATATTTTTTATGATTTTTATGAAAATCTTAAAACGTTCCTTCCGTCGAATATCTTTTCAAACATGTAATAAGAGGAGAGGCACAGAACTATGAACAAACATTCACGATTAAAATAATCTAAAAAAATACAAAGATATTTCTCTTTTTTTTGACAGTTAGTTATTCATACAATTTCATTATTTTCATTTCCACGATAGTGTTTTGGTGATTAAGGTTTTTTTTTTCGTAGCTGATCACACTTATACGAGATCATTCTCAAAAAATAAGTTGTTACCAAATTAATTTGTATATAATAAACTAGCCTTTGCCGCGACTCCGTCCGCGTGGAATAGTTACTTACGGCAGATTTTTGGTTCTTCCCACATAGTTCCCGTTCGTGCGGGGTTTTCGGAATGGTCGAGTTCCCGTAGAATTTTCAGGATAAAATCTATGTTTTTTTTTAAATTCACAATGAAGTACTCTTAACCAACAACATATTTATTTGTTTATTTGAATAAAGGTTAATATTATTATGTTGATACAACTTAAACAAATTACTTCGACCAAATTAGCTACCATAAAAACGGTTTTTGTGAGTTAATCTTAAAAGATAGACATATACTATCGCGGAGTGTTTTTTTTAGATCATTAAAAGAGCTATTATTCTTTAATACATATCTTTTGTGTATCTTGAACCGTTTTTACGGCGCACGCAACGGAAGGCTTCAAAGATGAAATAATTTCTCCCGTTTTTTACACATTCACCACTATATCTTTGCTCCTATTGGCCGTAGCGCGATGTTATATAGCCTAAAGCCTTCCTCGATAACTGGACTGTCCAACACAAAAAGAATTATTCAATTCGAACCAGTAGTTTCGGAGATTAGCGCTTTCAATCAAACAAACAAACAAACTCTTCAGCTTTATAATCTTAGTAAAGATTAGTACCACCATTCTTGAGGTTCTCCTCCGTATTTGTTCCACACACCTTTGTTGTAATCTACCAACTCCTTTCATGTATATCGTAGTACTGTAGTGTCATATGTCTCCATATTCTTGTATGTACTCTTTCTTTGCTATATTTTTTAGTATATAGATTCGTCTTCTATTATAATGCAAAGGAATATTCCTTTGCAAATCATACCTCATGATCTTATTTCGGCATCATTGTCAGTTTTTTACGTTCCAATTCATTTAAAGTATCAAGAGTAAGTATGTATTATATTTATGATATCTGACATCTCGACAGATGACAAGTGACAGATGTTAAGTTTATATATTTTCTAATATAGTTTCTCATTTTATATTATCTATGGTTTATGATGGTTAGAAAAGAGCGCGGGAATTGAAATGTTGACGCGGGCTTTTTGAAAATTTTATTTTTGTTTAGTTTATTGTAAAGAAGTAAAACTTAATATGTAAATATGTAAGTGTTTATATGGAGAGATGGTGAAAAAACGTAAAAAGAAGGATTCGGGTGAGTCCTTGAATTTCAGCACAAGCAGCGATTCCGATTGCGAGGATTCGCCAGTATTGCAGGATGCAAATGCCTTCGCTCCCTTTAGGGTCGCTGATTATTGTCCACGATACTCTGAAGATGCGGAAGCCAAGTCTGAATTCATAGTATTTGTCGAAAGTACTAATGTTGTCCCACTCGGAAATAGGGACATGATGTACTAGAACTAGTTTTATACGCTCTGTGAAAGGTATACATATTTAAAAAAAATAAATAAATATAAGGTCGGTCTTGTTTTCGAGCGTTCGAATTTGGCAAATGCCTTTTTAGAAAATACTACATATCTAAAGGAACAACGACTTAAAGCTTCAATACCAACAAGGGCCACCGAACTATCGGGAGTTATCTCTTCGGTTCCCACTCATCTATCCGATCACAAAATATATAAAGCAATATCAACAACAAAAAAAGTCATTTCTGTCCGACGCATAATACGTAAAGTAAAAGGAGAAAATAACACCTTCACACTGCAACCTACTCAGAGCGTAGTAATAACTTTTGCGTCTGCTACGTCACTGCCGGACTATGTTCACATTAAGATGTGGCGCCTGTCTGTCTCCACGTCATATGTCCCACCTATAAAACAGTATTTTAAATGTTTACGCTATGATCATCTGGCTAAGTTTTGTAAAAATTCACCGCGATGCTCCATATGCACAGAGGGGCAATCTTTCAAAAAATGCAAGGTTAACATTGAAAAAGCTAAGTGCATTAATTGTAATGACAATCACATTGCCATCTCTAGCCAGTGCCCTATAAGACAAAAGAAAATCGCAAACAGTAAACCCAAGTCATATGCTGACACGTTAAAAGATTCATTAAATTTTCCTCCCTTAATAAAAAATTAAATACCCAAGAAGTAACACAATACTATAATACAAGCAATACTATCAAATTCTGAAATTATGACTATTAACAGAATCTATGAATCTTTAAATAAAACTCAAAATATAAGAATTAGTTCACAATTTATTAGCTCAGCTATTAAAGAA